AAAAGGAAACGTCGGAGACTCTAACGAATATACATATAAATATACAAATAAATTATCAGCGTGACGAGCTGACTTGATTTAGCCATGTCCGTCTGTCTGTCAGTACATAAGTACGTGAACTAGTCGCTCAGTTCTTGTGATATCGATCTGAAATCCGTGATATCGATCTTTTTCTTTCCAAGAAGCTGATCAGTTGTCGGAATCACCAATATCGGACTACTATAGCATATAGCTGTCATACAAACTGAACGATCAAAATAAAGTCGTTGTATAGAAAACTTTTTTATTTGACAAGATATCTTCACAAAATTAGGCGCAGATTATTTTCCTAGGCAACGCGGCAATCTCTGAACATATTGTTCAGATCGGCGCACTATATCATATAACTGACATATAAACTGACCGATGAAAATTAAGAAAAAGATCTTTTTATACCATTGCGTGCTCTAAGAAAGTGTATTACAGCTTCGATGCAACCGAAGTTTTTTCTTGCTTTTGTTGTTGCTGACTGCCTTTCAGCTGTTTGGAATGAGTCCAAGACAGCGGTTAAACGACAATAAGAGGCAAAGCGGAGTGCAGCATTGTAACAAACGAGAATACATACATATGCATGTATGTGTGTGTGGTGTATGTACTACTCAGCGTGCGTGTGTTGGTGCGATATTTTGCACAACACACGACTTTATGTGGAGTGGCCGATTTGCATGCTGTCGCGCCGGTCCAGTCAAAGGCATAAAAGCACGCGGACGGACTGCCGGACAGCGAGCGGTGATATGAAAGTAGTAAAGCGGCGATAGCAACAGGCACACACATACATATTTGCATGGACATAAACTTGCGCTTACTATATACTATAATACATATGTACATAAGTATATATTCCCCGGCATATACTACTGTACGGAAAGATTGCGACACGCATCCGAGATAAATAAACGGAACGGCCTGGAACGAGCAGTGAGACGGACAATGCGACGAGCAGGCGACAGACGTGGTTGGGTCACTCAACTGGACGACTGACATTTACCATTGCACACACAGACAGAAAAGAGGAATGTGTCTCCATTCAAGTTACAACTGCAGGAAGATTGGTTGCTTGGTTGCTGGGTCGTTTGCAGGCGACTGAGTGATTGCTGGAAGCTTAAGTGGTAAAAAATGATTTATGTGACGATTAATGCATTGCAGATGGAAGTATACACATACAAACATACATATGTGTACATAATTATAGAGACGTTTCGGAGGTAGGGAACGCAGAGTTTCGATTGTCTATTAGTGAGGAAAGTGCAAAGCACAAATAGAGCAATAAATTTATGAAAACCGCATCATGCTCTGAAAGGCCAATTGTTGAAAATATCGATAAAATAATGAAAATCGTTGAGTCCGAACGTCATGTAAGCACTGTTTCGATTACTCTAAAGCTAAACATTACACAAAAATAAATTTGAGAATTGCTACCGAGTCGTAACAAAATCGATTCATTTCTAAAGTTCACTTACGACAACGTCCGGCGTAAACGGGCATGATCGAACAGCGATGAGCGGGCACAAACGGTGATCAAGACAGTATTGACGGTGAGGAAGGTTTTGTTTAGTGGAATTTGCAGCAAACTATCACCATTTAAGGAAGCAATCGTCCAGAAGCGACAAGCTTTGGTCAATAGGAGAGAAATTGTGTTCCATCACGACAACGTCAGGACACACACATCGAACAGGTAGTAATTATTAATTTTTGTCAGGTTTGAACTATAAGGCAGCTGCTTAAGAACCTGCCAGTCCAGCTCCCGGAGATTTTGTCGAATCACCATCAATGTGACAACATCCGTGGACATTGCAGGTAGGTGCATTAATGCGAAGTGCGCTCTAAGGCTCAGGGAATATAAATAAGGAGTCCGAACAAGGACAAGCCGTAACATTCTCCAGATCTCGATCCGCTCCGGTGCGAAAAAAAGTTATTTTTGCAGCAATAGTAGGGACTTTGGCATTGTCCAATAGACATTCATGCAATAAGGCTAAAAATTTTGACGAAAGCAAGTCGTCAAAGTTGAAGGGAGGAAGGTGAGGTGGAAACAGCCAAGCACTTTCTCCTCCATTGCCCAGCCTTTGCAAGACTCTGAGGATGAAACATCTCGGCAGTCTTAACTTCGGCGAACCAGGATACATACCCGAAACTGACTTTAGTCCTCTCGACAAATTTTGTAATAGGCACAAAGCGCTTTGTCGATTTGTATGGGTGTATGATCTATTATATAGCAGTTTTAGGCAACACAACGGACCGGCGTTCTAAGGTGAGCTAGTGAGATCCCTATAAGGATCGTCCTCTTAACCTAACCTAATCTAACTATCGCTGTGTGTGGCCTGGCGTCATACATGAAGCTGACCGCTTCTAGGCGATTCCTTCAGACGGTCCAATTGTCAACAGTACAGGTCCGAATTATAAGTTTGGGATAGAGCAGCAGATCATAGCTTATAATTTCCTGCCAATCCCACCAATGTTCGGCCGCACCCGCACTTAACTTTACTTATTAGTTTCAAATTAATTTACGTCTTAAGCGCCACTCAGACTGGTCTTATGCATATGCCATAAACAAGACAAATTAAATAATTATTTATTATAATCTGTTTTGAAACGAGATTTCTTGTGAGATAGCTGGATCGTCTACACACATTATACATAAGTATGAACCATAAAATAGCAGCTATCGAACTTCGGCCAACACATTGAACCTAATGAAGTGGCAATCTTTTGACTTACTCATAATTGACACTTTACGCTGTCGCAATTACTGAATAGAATGCCACAAGAGTACACAATACTCGTTTAATCCACTTTGAGGTAATAAACACAAGCACACGCACTGATATATACGACACATATATACAAGTACGTAAGTACCCGACGCGACTTGACTCGATTTGTGCGCTTGAATTGCGCTGCATTGCCACACCCACCACACAGCAACAGTCAAGATTGAGTACAGCGGAAAAAATGTTATGATAAATATGTATATGTATATAAAAGACAACAACAACAATTGTAACAACATACCTTTTATTAAGCCAACCACAGTTGGATGCTTCTCCATACGCACTTCTTGTCCATTGACCTAAAAAAGCGAAATAACAACAGAGAAAACGGTGAATGGCACAGTTGGCGAAAAAGCAACAAAAGCAACAAGCAACGAGTATATCAGTAAAAAAAAATAAAAATAAAAATAAAATATTAAAAAATATATGAAAATAAAATAAAAAAAATTATAAACGTAAAAGATAATGCAAAAGCGAAAATAAAAACAACAAATGAATAAAATAATATAAATAATTATAAAAAAGTATAATATATATATATATATATATGTGTTATTGTTATTATTGTCCCTCAAGTGTGATTTGACAGCAAAAGCAGCAACAAAAATAACAACATCAGCCCAACATGAAAGGGCATAGAGCTAGGGCCAAGAGTGCTTAGGGGAAGTGTGTTGTATTTTACGCTTTTTTACTTTTTATACCCTAAACAGGGTAAGAAAATTGTACCACGAAGTGTGTATACGTAACATACAGAAGGAAACGGCGGTTCACTATAGCATATAATTGCCATACGTACAAACAATCGTACAAACTGACCGATCAAACTCAAGTCCCTGTACGGAAAACTTTTTTATTAGGCAAAGTATCTTCACAAAATTCGACATAGATTATTTTCTAAGGTAATGCTACAATTTACGAAAATATTTTTCAGATCGGATCACTATAGCATATAGCTGTCATACAAACTTAATGTTCGGAATCAAGTGTTTGTGTGGAAAACCTTTTTAGTTTACGAGATATCTTCCAGAAATTTGGCATGGATGATTGTCTAAGGCAATGGTGTAATCTCCAAATAAAATGCCCAGATCGGATTATTATGGCATATAGGTGTCATACAAGCTAAACGATCGGTATCAAGTTTTTGTACGGAAATTATTTTTATTTGCCAGGATATCTTCACGAAATTTGGCACACATTATTTTCCAAGGCAACACAACAATTTCCAAACAAATTGTTCAGAGCGGCCCACTATAGCACATATCTGATATATACATATATCAACTGTGAAGGGTATTATAGCTTCGGTGTAACCGAAGTTAACGGTTTTTCTCGTGTCATAAATGTATAGGTATACATATGTATGTATTTATTATATTTTATATACTTTATTTCTTATGCGCAAAAGAAAGAATATTTAATCAAACAACAACAACACAATATACAATAATAATAATAACAGTGTTTGCGAGCCGACCTTTTTTCTCGCTTTTGCATTGTTGACTACAAAAATAATAAGAACAAGCATAAACTTAAGTATTATAAAAACCAAAACAAAAACAAAATCGGCATAAAACGACACAAATAAGAAAGAATGCCACCAACAAACCTTTAAGATCATATCGCCGGCAACTAAACCAGCAATTTGTGCCGCTCCACCTGGTTTAACGCTTTCAACAAAAACTGGATTGTCGCCGGAGACCTGCAATGAAGGAGAGATAATATGAAAAAAATTGCTTAAATGACTATAATTTTAAAAGAAAATTTGCCATAAAAAATAACCTACTTTTTAAAAGTCAAAAGCAAAGCGATGAAAAATTAAAAAGTAAAGAAAAAAAATAAAATAATAAGAATTAAAAGTAACGGGGCTACTGCTTAGATGCAACTCTGAGTAATTTTACTTAAATTTTTTGTGCTCGATATTCGAATGTACGAACTCCAGGAGAATACACGAACAGGTCACGAAAATTTCAGGCTGCGAAGCTCTGACCACAAATTTTGACACCATTTTACAGAAAGGTTCTCAACATTTCGATAACTGTCTGTTAAGCTTTGGTCAGCAGTAGTATAAGTATGTCCAGTATTTGCCTAATATGGGCGATAGAGATAAATTTACATACGGTAAACCGAAAACGGCATAGCAACCAATTAAATTGCCAAAAAACTTGTATTTTATTTTGAAAAATAATTATTTTAGTTGAAAGCCTTAGAAATGTACCATTTCGTGCTAAAAAAAATTTTCAGACAGTTTTGTGATTGCTTGGCTAGACCACTCGTCAAAGATGGATTTAATTTTAATGTTAAAGTTGCAGAAGGTGAATTACCGAAACTATTGATAAAATTATGGTAATCGTCGAGTCGAGCAGAAGCTAATAATTGCATAAAATAACAGTTCAATAAGGCACAATACAAAAAGTAGCTCGATCTACACATGTCACGCGAGTTAGCGGAAGAAACCCTCATGTACCGATTTACCATCTGCGAATCGCTGCTGAGTCGAAACAAAATTGGGCCACTTCTATAACGGAATATTACTGGTGATGAAAAGTGGGTCACTTACGTTACTTACAACAAAATCAAACGAAAACGGTCGTGATTGAAACGCAGTGACCCAACTCAAACGGTGGCCAAGCCTGTATTGACGGCCACGAAGGTTTTGCTATGTGTTTGGTTGAATTGGCGAGGATTCATTTAGTATGAGCTGTTCTCGTCCGGCCGAACTCTTAAAGCGGATCTCTACTTTCACCAATTGGACCGTCTGAAGGAAGCAATCGCCCAGAAGAGGAGGTAAGATTTAACTAATATGTAGGAGAGGAATTGTATTCTCTTAGAACATAGCCAGACTATACGAGTGCACATCGATAGTGACTCGCCAGAAGCTTCGAGAGCTTGGTAGGAGGTTTTTATACAACCACCTGATAGTTCGGACCTGCAACCAAGTTGTTACTACCTGTGCCTGTCTAAGACGTATTATTTTGGTATATAAAAAATTCGCCTCAAGAGAAGCTTGCGAAAATCAATTCCCCAGTTTCTTGCCAATAGGGAAGAGGATTTCTATGAGAGTGGCATTATGAAATAATAATAATAATCTTCAAAATGCCAACAAGTTTTCGAATAAAACTGTGCATGTTTAAACCAAATCGGATCATTCTAACTATGCTAAATACAATCTTCAATTTAATGCAAAAATATATACTTATATATATTTATTTTTATTAGACATTATATATATGTATATGTATAAGTATATTATAAAGACTTGCGCTGCGCGTAACTCAGTCTTCAACCAGCGACCGTCTACAGCAGGTATTTTAAAACGAAAGAAAAGTTCAAGAGAATTTCTCTATATGTAGCATTTCCACGAACACTCTCTAACAGCTGTCGGAGCCGCAGCCTCTGTACTATACATAGAACGCACATGTTTAGACAGAGATACTGCTTACACATCATCGCCGTCATCGGCATAATCCACCAGGTCTTTATTAGCTTCATTATTGTGCGAGATTTCCCAGTTATGAGTAATGCAACAAAGCTAGAAATTAACAAAATTTATTTGTTTATATTTATATGCCAACAACAGCACCACAAACCGCAAGAATACACGCACATACACATGGGCGCGGAGGAGCTGCGGCAAATGCTGGACAAATGCCAACAAAAATCGAAAAGTGAAAACAAACGTTCAGCGTACATACATATGTATGTGTTTATGTATGTATGTGTACAAGTGTATGTATTTGTGGAAAAATTGCACATACTGATATGTCATGTTTCGCAAAATTTTTCTGAGCGACGACAGCGAGCGTGTCTTATTTTTAAACTAAGCAATGACAGGCTGTCAGCCGGCCATATGCGCGATCATAAAAAATCACCGAGGCATATGTTTAAATATTGATGGGCCGAACATTGGCAGCAATAGCAGCATCAGCAGTAGGAGGCGGCAATCGCTGACGTGTGTGCTGAGCTAGTTGCCAACTAAACGGTTTTTACTAAAGCGGCCGAGACTGTAGTGACTTATGTGTGCGCGGTGATCTCGTTGATCACTGATTGTTGTTTGTGTAATGCATTTCTAAACGCTCTAACTACGTATTGTATTTAAGGCGCTTGTAAACAGCACTCAAGCGCTTTAGCTTTGCCCTGAACGCATATTTTACCCGGGGCGCTGAATATTGACCATCGACGACTTATTGACAGTGTGGCAAGTTCAAGTGCAAGTGTAAGACGGCGCATCTTCACGCTCCCACCGCCCCTACATTGTAGCTGTTAAATAATTAGCCAACGCAGCTCTTTGCTGTGCGCTGTTAAATTTAAATTTTGTAATTGCTGTTTTTGTTTTCCATTTATTTCTCAATTTCAATTTCAATATTTGTTTAATGGAGAGTCAAGCGGGTGGGCGTCTGTGTATTTTATTACCAGTATATTTACATGCAGCTCATTGGTTTTGTTTGTGTTGTGAACTTGTAGATATATGTACATATGTATGTATGTACACATCGCAGCAGTGAATTGGATTAATTCTGGACTAGTACTAGGAGAACCAGTCAAGTTAACAGAACTAGTCTCAATCTTTATACGCTGAACCAATTAACATACCCTGCCACGAAGTTTGTTACACCTTGAAGGAAGCGCCAGAAAACCTATAATATATATATACCATATAAATGATCAGTGTGACGAACTAAGTCGATTTAGCCATACCCGGGTGCCTATCCGCCTATATATACGCGAACTAATCGCTTAATTTTTGAGATAACGTTTTGAAATTTTGCACAGATCCTTTTCTCCCCAAGAAACTGCTTATTTGTCGAGACCATCGATATCGGACCACTATAGCATATAACTGCCATACAAACTGAACGATCGGAAACAAGTGCTTGTATGGAAAACTTTTTCTTTAAACGAGATATCTTCACGAAATTTTGCAAGGGTTATTATCTAAAGCAATAATGCAATCACCGTAGAAATTGTTCAGATCGGATCACTAAAGCATATAGCTGCCAAACAAACTGAACGATCGAAAGCGAAGTTTACGTTTGATCTTGTTTCTCTTTTCTTTCGTCTCATGATCTTTAACCTTTCATTTCATTTTGAATAGGCGACTTTGATGCGCCATTTCTCTGCGCGTTGAGCTCCGTTTTCTTGACAAAAGTTTACAAAAGAAATGAGTAACAAAGTTATTCAACTACACCTAATTAATTAAGTCTATTAAAAGTTACCTGTTGCTTGTTCGGTTCGTGACTTTACAAAGTTTGATTAATCGAAGTCGTTCAATATTAAAATCAGCGCGACGGTTGAAAGATATTAATTATAAGACGCTACTCTAGAGATGGTAAAAACAAGCAACGCTTTTTTTTTTTTTTTTTTTTTTTAAATATATATTAATTTAAATTATATTTTAATATATTAACCACCATTGGCAAACTAACATTTTCGATGTAAAAATGTCAATGATGTCCACTTAAAATCCAAATCGCTTAACTAAGTACTAGTCTTACTACTACGCAGATTTGGTCGGCAGCGTATGCGTTTATACACATTTTTATTGATGGGTACCCCTGTTTATGACGACCAACACCCGAATCCCTAAATGCATCAGCGGAAATTGCTTTTAACCTCAACAAGCACAATATTTTCAAGCGAATTCATAATTCCGCACAATGTGTTTACAATAAAATTAGACGATTTGAGTAATAATCAGCAGATTTATTGTATTTTTAACGCAAAAATAACGCCGACTAAATACTTGTATGAAATCGGTTTTATGTATCGCTTTGTAGATTAATCAGCATTTTTACTGACTATAAAGCACCGATTTTGATTTATAGCTTAAGTTGAGTTGAAATAGTTGGTTAATATTTACAACTAAGTCAGCTTTAGCATTCAAAATTTTTGGTAAACATGAACTATACTTGTAATAAATAATAATTCGAATTTAAATGATGCTTAGACCTAATCACCCAAATTATGGTACTTAAAAATAGTACAACTCTTGATTATTGTGTAAGACTGTTGCGTTAATTATTCCCAGACAAAATATTGTATTTTTGTGTCTTTTTTTTCAATTTTTTCAATTTTTTTAATTATTTTTATTTTTTTTTTTTTATTTAACAGCATGTGAAAATAAAACTAATAAACAAAAACCAAGCACAAAAATATGAACTTTCGCGACAATATTGACATTGACGCTGCGACACATAATAATTTATCATTTTTAATTACTCGCCAGTCACCGCAATCGACGATCCGTTACATCAGCCAGCAAAATAAGAGTAAAAGATCAACGGTGACGGTGAGATAATTTCGCATATTTATGAGATGTACAAATGTGTGATTTTGTGAGGGTATTCTGAGTGAGTTTTTTAAATGATAGGTGTTCACAAACGGTATACAAATTGTGACAAAAATATTGACATTGCACTAATTGTTGCAATATAATAGACAATAATGAGAACTTGGAAATTACTAATAATGCATATAGTATTACAATAAATATTCATAAAATTCATAATATGAAAAAATAAAGATATATATGATATACATTAATACTAAGACCGTAACAGTAAGCTGAGAACACTCAAATTGATCACTACTCTCTCAATGTATGCTATACATATATTTTTTAAATCATTACTTATGTAGTCAAAACTTCTTTACCTGATCATAAAGTATAACAAATTTGCCTTCACCTCTTGTTTCGATTTTCTTTCCAACATTACATAACTTGATTTCTACAAAAGTTCGTCAAAGGTCCAACTGGAACCCAACATAAAAATCTCTTTGAAAATTGAGGAAAGTAACCAAATCGATTTATGACCAAACCTACCATATATATAAGGAAGTTATAAATATGTATATATTATATAATATCCAGTACCATTTATTAAAGGACATAGTGCCAAAGTTCATGTACATATCTTATACTTCGCTAATTACCTTAAATATTCAAGTCGAATTACCTTAAATATTCAATGACTGGACTCATTTCGGAACATTTTTCCTGACCGACTCTAAACAGAGCGCTTCGAGAAAAATGCTTTCAAAATTTTTAAAACGGATGAAAACTTCAACTTTTCGGAGAATATTCTCAAACATATGTATATTCGAAATTCACGAAAGACATTTTTTTTTAAATCTTTTTTTTTTACATTCACAACTGATATAAGAGATGGCAATATATTATAACTAGATTTGACTTTTACTGAGGAATTATTGTATTAGAAGTCGGGGGCGATGCTTACACTAAACCTTTCCAAGACGTTCTTCTTCGCAATACCCAACAAAAATAACATGACAACGCCACTCCGACGAAGTGATAGAATACCGTTATTCGGATGTGGGCACTGTCTTTTCTCTGTTTACAACGATTTTAATTTCATTATGCAAATGATCGAAGATCGAAAATTACAGATAATGGACTGCATTAGGTCATACTTAACGCAAGCAATTTCACACCTTAAAAAAATGTGTCGCAACACCGACCAAAAAGCAGGTAACTATCAGACAGCATGGCGAAGTGCGAAATGGTGACAAATGCAAATATAATTAATTTCTCATAAATAATTTAAAGAAAAAAAAACCCAATCTGCATGCTCGCACAACACCATCATCGTCAAAACGCACACTAGCGCAGACATGAGCGCATGCACAACAACAACGACACGTCAACGATAATGCCGAATGCAAAGTTGCATGATCGCTACATTATTAGTGTGAGCAAGTGTATTGCGACGACTAGTCGGAGAGCGACAAAACGAACGATGACTTCATTTTCAATTTATAAACAAATATTTCAACTAAACGCTGACTTAATCGACGTCGACACAACAAACGACATGTAAATAGACAACAATAATGCAAATGAAACCGAAAATAATAACCAAAAAAAAAGCAGCTCTGTTATTTGCTTGTCATCATTGGGCGTAAATAGCGAGTGGGTAAAAACGATTTAACTTCAAACAGGCATACATTCATTTGAATATACATACATATATACGATTACATTAATGAATTTAGATAAAGCTGTGTAAAATAAGCTCTCATCTCTATCTCTTACAACTGGCTGATGACAATAATTAAATTTAAGAAATAAAAAAATTATGTTATAAATTTACGTTTCGTAAAATCGCATGCGATCATTTTGTAGGCGAAATCGCACGCTTAGCAGCGGCACAGCAGAGCTCGGTAACTTTCCGTTAAATATAGTGGATGTAAGTATTTGTATGTGCGAATAAACAGCAACTAATGCTTTAGACGCCACTTGCCGGCGAGTATGCTTTAAAACAAGCTCTGAGAGTGGGTGCGCCGTAGGTAATTGTTTATGCATGTTTTTTTTTCCAAATTGAATGCGTGTCATTCACGGAACAGAAATCAGAGAACAGTATACTCAACAAACTCAAAAACTTTGGAGCAAGCAATACAGAGACTCAAAAAAAAACCTGATGAAAAAAAATCCAGAGATATCTGGAGTACCAGGAACTATTTTGTGAGAAAATACGCTACATGTAGTCCATTTTTTTTTTTGAATGCAATGGAAATAGCTTTAAAATATCGGAACGAATCGGTAGATTTTCAACTCACTTCCAGTTGCTAGAACTCAAGAGCTCAAAAACTATGCTCTTCATACGACATATCGCAAGGAATCGGTTTTCAACTAACTTAAAACCTCAAGATCTCAAAAAGTATATTCTTCCTATGGTATATCGGTAGGAATCGGTAGATTTTCAACTAATTTTCAGATGTTACATCTCAAGATCTCAAAAACTATATTCTTCATATGACATATCGGAAGAAACCGAAAATTTTTCAACTAACTTCAAACTTAAGACCTTACAAACTATATTCTTCATATGACATATGGGACGAAATCGGAAACATATTCTGCATATGACAAGAATCAGAAGTAATCAGAAGATTTTTAACTAACTTCTAAATCTCAGAACATATCGGCACTTTAAATCTCACATATACAGATTTTAGAAACCACATTTTTAATTTGATATATAGAAAGGAATCGGTTAATTTTCAACTAACTTCCTAGCCTCAGTTCTCAAGTTCACAAATTACTATTGTACATTCTTCAAGAAGACTCAACTGGGTATTGCTTCCATAATAAAATAATGGAAGCCCGCTGAGTTTGTAGGTGCTATGAATAACTTTGTAACCTTTGAACCTTCTAATAAACCATATAGGTATTATTGAAGAAGAAAGCGATGTTGACCAGAAATCAAACAAGGCTCTTCCCTAGCAGTTTTTTACATGTTTTCTCTTTGAGTAGGCGATTAAAGCTAGGATTTTATATCGTACTCTTTGAATTGCGACCAGCCTTCCATGAAACCCTTTTTCACTCCAATAAACAACTTCTCGTAATCGTAATATTATGAATTTGGCCAGATAACTTTTTAACTCACTACAAATTTTTTCACATTTGATTTTTGTGTTTTGTTTTTCATTAATTTTTTTTAGGTTACATCACAAATTTGTCACAGTTTCTGCATAGTTATGCAAATCTTGGCGCTGCAGAGCATGAAATTTCCAACGCTTAAGCTGAAATAAATTTCAATAGTTAATTTTAATCTACGTTTTGCGAAACCTGTAAAGCGGCATTACAAAATGATTGCTGGTGGAAAATTTACGCAGGAATATGCGCACTTTTCATAACTCATAATTGCACCGATAAAATTGTAAAATATGTAAAGGTAGGAATTTAAGATTTAGTTCATAGCATAGGTCTAGAAAAAATAAATCCAGTATTTTTGTAATAAATTCAAGTTTATTTTTAGCATACATAGAACGATCCGATTAAGATCAAATATGCACTATTTTGCTCGATAACTTATTGCCACTTTGGAGGTAGTTTCATAATGCCACTCTCATAGAAACCCTCATCCCTAATCGGGAAAAAACTGGTGCAGTCGATTTTTACAAGTTTCTCTTGAGACGAATTTTTCATCGGCAGCATTATTCGACATAGACAGGAACAGCTAGTAATCACTTGGTGCAAGGTGCGGACTATAAGGCGAATGCATAAGAACCTTCCAATCCGGTAGGCTTCTGGTGTGGATATTTGTAGCCTGATGTTGTGCTGATGGAAACAATTACAAAGCGTCCGCTACTGGGCGATTTCTTCTTTCCGACGTTTCAATTGTTAATAGTACATGTCCGATCTAAGAGTTTAAGCGTAAGGGAGCAACTCATTGTAGTTGATTCCCTACCAATCCTATCAAACACATAGCAAAACCTGCCTGACCAATTCAGGCTTGGCCACCGTTTGCACCGGCTCATCGCTATTCTACCAAGACCGTTTACGCTTAATGTGTTCGTTAGTAACTCACTTTACATCAATCTTAACTATCTACCTAACTATAATAGCTGGAAGCTTTATGGGAAAAATCAAACTACCGGAAATGATGCCAACGGTGTGATAACCGCAGAACTATTTATATAATAGCTCCAAAAACTCAAATTTAAATAACATATGTACTTCAAGCACTCACCTTCATGCCATAACCATTCTCGTCCTTACGCACCGTCAAGGTCAAATACTGAAAATTTTTTGGTGATTCCGGTATCGGAGAGATTTGCAATTGCGGACGTCGAGCTGAGGCCATATTAACGCTGCCACGTTGATTACCCGTACAGTTCACACTTACACCGCCACCCGTGCTCGTGCCGTTAGCACCGAGGCCACCACTAAGTGGCACACTACCGCCACCCATCACTGCGACTCCACCAACACTACCACCGGTCGGTGTGCTAGCGAAAGCAACATTATTGCCACCAACACTATTGGACACCAGTATTGTTGGTGTTGTTGGCGTTACTGGCGAGAAACCGGCACCGAAGTTAGTTAATGGTGTTGTAGGTGTGATGTTGCCACCATTCATATGTTTCAATTTACTTTGCTGATAATTGACCGGCAGCGGTGGTGTTTGTGGTGGTATTGGTGAGTAGGATATGCCACTACCAGAATTACTGTTATTGTTATTTGTTATATTAATATTACCACTACTACCGGCGCTACTCGAAGCGGCGAGTGAGGGCGAACGGGGAATTTTTGATTTGGATTTGTTTTTCTTGGAATTTTTCAGTTTGTTTTGTTTTGGTGGTGGCAATTCGGGTGGTGTAGCCGTTGTGTTTGTGTTGTTATTGTTGGTGTTGTGTAAAAGTGGTTGTTGCTGTTGTTGTAGATGTAAATCTGTTGTTGTAGTTGCAATTTGTGGATTAATATTTGATTCGTCTGGTAACTCCTGAACCTCGTCATACTCATGTTCATCGATACCAAAATCAATTAATCTGAAAACAAGGAGAAAATAAAATAATAAAATTAGTACAGATTGAGTAGAATAAATTAATATAGCTTAGTTAATTTAATATACCAAAGAATTAAGAAAAAGACATTAGTGGGAACTTCATCCGAATATTTAAGCACAAATGATTGAGTGTAAGAGAAAACAAATTTGAGTCAAAAGACACAACAGAGACAGAGACACACAAAGACAGCGGGTTCTGACACTCAGCTTCCCGAGCTTTCGATAATTTCCAAACCGAAAAAGTTCTTCAGCTAAACTCAGCCTAGAATTACCCTAACCACGAGCTGAGCCATATGTGAAATTCCTTACAAAGTTTTAAAAAAACTTGTTGGTCTCGACTCGGAAAACTGATTGCCGTTGTCATGATAAAAAATAAAAAAATATTATACTCATTCCTCGCAACTTTGGCATAAGTCATTTTCTTTACGAAACATAACAGTTTCTTTACAAACGGTGGATCGTAAATATGCACAGATACCTCCAAACAGGTGATGAAGTGGGTGTTTAAGATTAGAATGTTCTTCAAACTCTCCTTGTTGGTGCATAGAACCAGAACTATTACCGACCGAAACATAAAGTGGTTAAAACTGCACACTATCACCACGCAGGTCCTGGGTTTGAGCTCAATTCCGATCAACACCGTTCTCACGACGTTCGCAAGGAGCTATAAAAATGGTAAGCGAAATCTAATACCGGGTAATGCATAGCCCGGTTGTTGTAACGGTAGAATTTCTCAAATAAAATTGAGGAATATTACCAAATTGACAATCCTTGAGCGCCTACAAATTCGGGCCAACTCGGTTACACAGACCAAACTAATGGAACGGTTTTAGTATTCGGTAACGTAACAAAAAATCGTAAATTTCCGGCGGTAAAACCGAAAATATTTTTTTTTTATTTAAGTCGCATGATGTCTCGAAAAAAAATTTATAAAATATTGCTAAAGTAAAGCATTGTTTTTCTTTTTTTTCTTTTTCGCCTTTTCATTTTCACAACAGCGAAAGTAAAAATTTATAATTTCATTAGAAATTTTATGTTTACATTTCATATTGTTGTTATTTCCTATTTAGGGTAGTTGCGCTCATTAAAAGTGCCTGCATAATTTTTCACAATTATTTATATACACTTTTACATAACTGTATTGCACGTGTGAACCACACATTATGTGGCTTTGGAAATATTTAGCCAACAAGTACGAACGCCGATGCTTTGGGTGCCACACTTGTATTCATCTGGTAGTACGCCTAGCGTTTAAGTCATTATTCGCTCATGAATTCCGTTCAAGTATAATATATGTGAACCGTATATGTCTGTTAGTGTTGTTGCATGTGTATGTGCGCATTTTATCATATTGAACGAATGCACATGCGAGTAGTTGCCATTTTCTTCCTCTTCCGTTAATTTCACTAATGTGGGAACTTTGCGGTTTCGCTACTCAGCTGAACTGAGCTGCCAGCTTCATTGCTTGCCTCGCCTTGCCGCTTAATTAATCCAATTGATTATGAACGTTTTGATGGGCACAAGCTTTTCCGGATTTTGGCAGCAGAAATTAATTTTCAAAGCGAACACAAAAGTGCTTAAAAATAAAAGATATTTTGAAATCTTGTCTAGAGAACAGAGAGTAGATCAATTCGAATTTCAGAAGTTTGGGACGTCAGTTACATATTATATTTGGAACTTCAGAACATCTGCGGAATTAGTTTATGTTATAGCCGAAGATCTGCTAGACGAAATATCTACAAGCGAAGTAGGCCAATAAGAGACGGTAAATCTAACGCTTAAGCCACTTAACATTTGACTTTGGTAGAGGAAACAAAACTGAAATAAGAAAATAAAGCCCAATAAATGGATTGATTATCAAACTCAGCCTGACAAACTCACTTCCACTTGCCGAACTAGACGGCTTTCAGCGAAAATTCCACTGCAATCGATTAAGCAAAATTGGGAAAGTGCGCTAAAGTACGCTCGGATGGCAAAACAATTCCTAAACCAGCTCACAATAAACGATCGCTGAACAAATAAAATGACAGGCGAGAAAAGCCAATAAATTGAACATTGAACTGCTTACGACCTTTTGACGAAATACCAAATTGCCGAACGCGAATAAGTTGAACATCGCAGGGATTTTAGGATGTTACAGACCTAACTTAGATTACCTAGTAACCTAAAGTTTACCTCAAATGCTCAAATCGGCCACTAACTGTATATTTAGACAAAATCCGCCTTCAGCGACACATCACAAAATGCATTTTATATGCACTTGAGTGTGTGTGTGTGTAGGTAGGTATACTTCAACTAAATCACTTAACGGATTTACGAGTTGGCCGAGAAATGTTGCAACAATGCAAATGCAACCACAATAATCAACAAAACTTAAATGAGAACAATGACTATAAAAACAGAGGGAAAACTTAAACTTAAACGAGAAATAGCAACGCAACCACATTTATGTGACTATTTGCCGCCTACGCAAAAAATGCTGTATCTACATACAGTGGAGGGTATAAAATGGTGATCAGTTTTTTTTCAGCTTGAGCTTAGCCATCCAAGCGCTTAGATGGTCCGTATTGGAGGAATGTAGAGACCACACTGTTATTAGTGATTGTGAGAACTTGCACGTAGATAATAGCTTTGACTATGGATTGGAAGAGCTTTCTCATAAACATATAACAGAGATTTTTTGAAAAAAAAAAAAAATGTATCTGGTTTGTTTCAAGAAAGTTAGCTATGTTGACTATATTCTTGTGATTATGAGATTATAAATTATAAATTTAACAAAATGCTAACAATCTGTGCTCTTCAATCATTAGCTAAAACTCAAAAACTATCTCACAGAATGCAAAAAAACATTTTAATACCATTCTGGACAACCAGATCCCCACGTACCTGAAACTACCCGTATTTTAGCCAACCAAGTGTTGTAATTTCAACGATCTAACATTGTTTGGCGCGACAGGGCTTAGATTTAAAAAAAATATCAGTTTTTTTGTTTTTGTTTGTCTCAGGTAAAATGTGAGACACTGCAATATCTCTTGCAATACTTTCAAGGAGGTTAGCTTTAGGTTTAGATTAGGAAGTCGCTCCTAAGAAGGTTCACACTTGGACAGCTTAAACGCCGGTTCCGTTCTGGTACCTTAAAACTAGTATAAAGCTGGATCAAAAGAACCTTCCATGACGACAAAGCGCTTTGAGTCTATAACAGATTTGTGGAGACGGCTAATAACCGTTTAATAAGTCTTCTGGTGCGCAGAATATATGATTACCGAGATGTTTCAGTCTCAGTTTTCAAGTAGAGTTTTTTAAAAAAAAGTACAAAATGAAAACTACAATGTTTCACAAGTTCAGTTTCAGAACAACTTTCAATGTTTTTATCACGCCAAATTTAA